ACAATTAGTACTACTCATAACTCAGGTTGCATTATTCTTGCTTGACGATCTTCATTTTTTATGTGCTTTTTTAACAAATCCATAACTTCATTATCAAATTCAGGTGGAGTGGGCTTTGCACCTGTAGCCCAGTAAAATATGTCCCAATCATTTGTTGGTAAATTAATGAGATGATCGTACAATTGCAGTTGTTTATCATCAAAAGCACATAAATATTTTTTAGCAAAAGTACTTAAAAGCAGACCATTTTCTAACATGCCACGCTTGCGGGATTGATACAGAAGTCTGTAATCAAAATTATAATAACGTTTCAAAAATATAGTGTTAATTTAATTATTGTTTTTTTTTTTTTATATTACCGAGCTTTTTTAACTTCTTTAGTCTCTTGATCGCGTTCAACATACAATGGAATATTAGGCTCTCGACCTTCTGGTTCAATTACATCTTGAAAATCGTCTTTATAATTGGTACAAGTTGTTGAGACATGCCTTACTAGAGGTACCGGTTTAACCTTAAATTACACGTTAGCTATAACATTTAGTGCCAACAATATAATTGTTATGCAATATATATTGTATATTTTCACTTACTGCAGATACAAGTGATTTTACAAAAACGTTCATATTTATTCCTTTATTTTTTACGTTCAAGAAACAATATTTTTTATGCTTGATACAACCAGGTTAAAACTACTTTTACAGCAATATAGGGTCAGCTGATAGATTAAATATAGTTTTATAATAGTTATATACTACTATTTATAGCTAATGTTCGTTTATTTCCTTATATATGTTCATACATTTACAATTAATATTTGTTTATACATATAAGGCCTAAATAAATTTTATTTTGATACAGTTGACAATGTCATCAAAACAAGCTTTTGTTGAAACAAATATAACCTTAACTGTTTTAGATTTACTTGTGTTAAGTATAGTTCCTCGGACTTGTTACAGGTGAAGTGAATAGGTATATATTATTTTGTAAATATATAATGAAAATATAAATAACATTTCCTCGAAAAAAGTTCTTTAATCTTTCGGTATTTCACAACAATATTTATAATTGATGACAACCTTTTATGATTATCAATATAATAATTATGTTAAATTTTGTTTTTATAAAGTAAAATAAGATGTTTTCGAAATCATTGGAAGCTATTAATTCAATTCTATCAATGGATGATACAATATTAAAAAACATTGAAAGTGATGATGATAATGGTAATGTTAAAAATGAAATGTGTATTCCTACTTCTAATATACATGAAAAAACTTTAAGTAGTTTTGCACATGAATGGAGCACTTGTGATATATTTGAAATGCATGAAAATTGTGAAGAAGCACAATCTGCTGATAACAAAAAAGAATTTCCAACAGAACAGGTCAACCAAGGTGCTTTAACTATTTCTCATAATATACCTAATGAAGCAAATACTCATTGGCAGGATAATACATTATTGAATGAAACATTTCTACAATTTCATTCTTGTGATGTAGTGGATGAGTTACAATGTTTACCTCAGGTTATTGATCTTTTATTGATAATAACTTCAAAACTTTCATAATCTTGTTTTAGAATCATTTATTATAAAATTCTTAATATAACATTTTATACTTTGCAAAATAGGATATTATTCAAGCAGCTGAAAATTGTTTTGAAAAAATACCTCTCACAGAAATCACAGATTCAATGTATTTGTCAAAGAATGAACAGCAGAATAATAAATCATTAAAAAGAAACTTAGTTGGTCAGAGTAATGATATTTTGAATAAGGTATACTGTTCTAATGATAAAATAAATCAACAGAATATAAAAATTCATCACACAAATTCAACGAGCAATGATACATTTTATGGTTTACCAAAAAAGGTGCAAGACCTTTTTTTCCAAGTTAGAGGTATTGAAACATTGTACCGTAAGTATTTCCCTCATCAAATTATTAAAGATTGTTATTAATAATGTTTTTTTTCATTGATTATGTTTATATTAATCATTTAATGCTTTTAGAATGGCAAGATGAATGTTTAAATTTAAATGCAGTAAAAAATAGAAAGAATTTGATTTATGCTCTCCCTACTAGTGGAGGTAAAACATTAGTTGCAGAAGTATTAATGTTGAAAGAGCTTATATGCAGTACAAGGAATGCAATGTTTATATTGCCATTTGTTGCTATAGTACAGGAAAAAGTAAGTATTCATACAATAAGATAAATCATTAAACAATTCTTATAATGATTACTTACAAGAAATATATACTTCTTTGTAACTTAAAGGTTCAAGCAATGACACCATTTGCACTAGAATTAGATTTTTTAATTGAAGAATATGCAGCATCAAAAGGAACATATCCTCCAAAAAAACGTCGCAAAAAGAAGAGCATGTACATGTGTACTATAGAAAAGGCATTAGGTTTAATAAATAGTTTAATAGAAGAAAATCGGTTTAATGAAGTAAGTACAAAAATATTGGTGATTAGAATAAAATTGTAATTGATATATAATAATAATAATCTATATTGCAATACATCCTTCAAATTAGATTGGTATTATAGTTGTGGATGAATTACACCTACTTGGTGAAAGTGGAGGAAGAGGTGCTGCATTAGAAGTTCTTCTAACAAAAACATTATTTGTTAATGGTAAAAAATATAGGATTAAGTTTGGTGGCATATAAATTGTATACAAGTCATTATTTTATATTTATTTTAGAAAATATTCATATTGTTGGAATGAGTGCAACAATAGGTAACTTAAACGAAGTAGCTGAATTTTTAAATGCAGATTTGTATACTGGAAACTTTCGTCCAGTTGAAATTAAAGAATATGTAAAATGTGATGACAATATTTGGTTACTTGATTTAAAAACAGAAGAATTGTTAACTGATATAAAAAAAATCAATTATCGTGTAAGTTAATGTTTTATTTCCTTTTATAATTGTCAAATGTTTAATAATTAATATTCATTTATTTGAAAAGTATTCAAACGAGGCAGCAATCATAGATCCTGATCGAATTGGAGGTTTGGTAATGGATATAGTTCCTGGAGATTCATGTCTCATATTTTGTTCCAGTCGTAAAAATTGTGAAAATGTTGCTCTATTATTAACTAAAGTTTTGTTCAAGTGAGAATCTCTCTTCATATTTTATTTGCTTAAATATTGTTATAAATGTTCTTGATTAGTTACACATACAATTTTTGGTAGATCATTGGAAAATTACAAGAAAGATGACAAACAAAAATTAATAAATGCACTTGAAAACGAAGAAGGTCTTTGCCCCATTTTACGCAAAACTATAATATTTGGTGTAGCCTATCATCATTCTGGCCTTACATCTGAGGAAAGACATTTATTGGAAAATGCTTTTAAAGCAGGAACTCTATGTGTAATATGTTGTACATCAACTTTAGCAGCTGGATGTTGGGAATCAGTTTTTAAATTTAAGTAGATATAAACAAATGGTAGGAAGAGCTGGTCGTGCTGGCATGGGAAATATAGGAGAAAGTATACTGATATGCAAAAATAATGAGCTGCAGAAGGTAGTAATAATAGTCATGCAACTCTAATATATTATATAAATAGAAAATATAATTATACTCAGTATTTGTTACATAGGTAAAGGAACTCTTAACATCTAAAATGAATGATTCTCTAAGTACCTTACATGTGGACAAAGATAGAGGTATACATAACTTAATTTTAAGCGCTATATTCTTTCCTATAGCAACAACCAGATTTGAATTATACAAACTGGCAAAACGGACATTGCTTAATATTCAAGAAAAACGTTTAAATGTGAATATTAAGCAAATTGTGGATGAAGCAATAACTAAATTTTTAAAAGCTAATGTAATAAAAGTAAAGAAAAAAGAAGAAAGAAATTTTGATGTATTCAGATCAAATATTAGCGTTGTTTTCCCATCACAAGATATGTCTTGTAGCAGCACCAGTCCAGAAACAAAACAGAAAGAAAGAATAAAGATTACAAATAAGACTAAATTAGAACTTTGTAATCTCGGACGTGCAGCTATAAAAGGTACAATGAATTTTACTAGTAAGAAGTCAATAAGATTGTTCTTTGTACACGACTATTTTACATATATTTTCTTTGAAGGTTGCATTGAAATGCAATGTGCATACACACTGTATCAAGATTTGAAAAAAGCTCAGGAGCACTTAATTCTTATTGATTATTTGCATCTTTTGTATCTCGTTACGCCATATGATATAATATCTCAGATAAAGCCAGTAGGATCAGTTTATTATGATGTGGTAATTTTTTATTTATAACTTTCATTCATATTCCTTGTTACTAATAATATTTATTTAATGTACTACTTTTAGGTAACTAATTTAGCAGAAACGCAGATGAAAACAGCCAGGCTTCTAGGAATTAATGAAATAAGTATCGGTAGAATCCGCGATGGACTAATGCCGAAGGTATGTATACAGTTTGTACTAAATATTTTTTTATATTTAAAGAATTTTATATGTAACAGAATGTAGAACCACGAGTGGTTCAGAGATTTTACATAACTTTAATACTATATGATTTGTGGACTCAACATGCAGTGTATGGTGTATCAGAAAAATATCAAGTGAACAGAGGACTTATACAAAATCTTTTGAATACTGTCGCATCGTTTGCATTTTCTGTAGTTCGGTTTTGTCAGGTTAGTAAATAAAATATGTTTAATATTCGCTTTGGTAAAACATTAATGCATAATTATTCCAGGAATTGGAGGAATTTTCACCACTCACAGAATTATTAAACACATTTAGTAAAAAATTATCTTATTGTTGTCCTCTGGAGTTAGAAGCATTAATGGTTTTGCCATTAGTAAAGATTGTATGAAAACTTTGTTATCAACTAAATAAAGTAAAAGCTTCAAGTTGACTTAAACTATAACAATATTTTACATTCTAGGGTAGAGCACGTCAATTGTATAATGCGGGATTTAGAACAGTGCAGTGTATAGCTAAAGCAAATCCATCAGATTTACAAAACAAAATCCCGTACTTAAATAAAAGAGCTGTGATACAAATTATAGAAGCTGCTAAAGTAATAATTACTTTACAATTATTGTTTTAAATTAAGTTTATTTTATTGTTACTATATTATTACTAGTAACTTTATTTCTATTAAATTTGACAGTTAATAATCGTGGAAAAAGTAGAAGATTTAAAGGAGGAAACAGAAGACTTTCTAAGTGGAATAAATATAAATACCTTAAGAAGATGTTAATTTTTAAGTACTTAAATACGTTATC